CAGGCACACACACACACACATCAGCCCCCTCTCTCTCTCTCTCTCTCTCTCTCTCTCTCTCTCGCTAATTCAAATAAATTATATAATTAATTCAAATAAATGCGATCTTACCTCACTACATCTCTGTGTCTGATTTAAAGCAGGCCGAATGCTAACGAGCCTTAACTGACGAAAATGACCATAATTTGCACGGAGGAAGAATTATCGTCTTGTCGCAGAATTTATGTGACCGCTTCACCTGATGTTCATAAACTTTCATAACTGGTAGGTGTTTTTTTCTTTTGCCTTGTAAAGAAACCGATTCATCAAGGCTCGACCAGTTCACATGTATTTGTTTACTGACCGTTGCATGCAATCGTGAAATACAGCATTTTTTAAATTTATTTTTTTATTGGCTATTCGGTAAAAATAAAAAATTCAGGTTTTGTTCGGGCTCTGTGCCGAACAATTTAACTGTGCCGCTCGGGTCAGGTCAGGTCGGGTCGGGTCAGACGATCTCGGGTACGGGCTGGGTTCGGGCTTCAGTTTAAAGCCCCTATCCTTTCTTACATTCATATTCCTTTATCCAAATCAGTGAACACTGGGCCTTATTTAACTGTTTTTCCTGTTGACCTTTAACAGAGGGTCAAGCGGACGCCTCCCGTAGCGCCTCCTGTCTGCCCAACGATCTCCTCCTCAGCCTCTTCCACGGCTCTCTGCAGAATGAGCTCAGTGATCGAGAGATCCCATTGACCGACGGCGATCATGTGGCGTTCATGCATCACATCCTGGAGCGGGAAAGAGACGGTCATGTGGCTCCATTCTCACTTCCTGTCATTAAAGGTGATTTGGCTGGGGGGGTTTTTTATGCTAAAATGTCTATAACATTCATACATCCAAAACACACACTTAATGCTTTTATTCATCAAGGTTGCATTAAACTGATCAAAAGTGTTACATATAATGTTACAAAAGATTTCTGTTTTAAATAAATGCTGTTCGTTTCAACTTTCTATTCATCAAAGAATCTTGTAAAATAAAATGAATCACGGTTTCCACAAAAATATTCAGCAGCACAACTGTTTTCAACATTGGTAATAATCAGAAATGTTTCTTGAGCAGCAAATCAGCATATTAGAATGATTTCTGAAGATCACGTGACACTGAAGACTGGAGTAATGATGCTGAAAACTCTGCTTGTAGCACATTTTACAATATCTTCTGACAGAAAACAGTTATTTTAGATTGTAATAATGTTTCATAAAATTTTCGAATTTTCGATCAAATAAATGCAGCCTTGGTGAGCAGAAGAGACTTTTTAAAGAACATAAATATCACACCGACCCTAAGCTTTTGAATGGTAGTCTATACTTTATATAATGGTTGTGGTAGTGGTTAACTTCCATGTTTTAGGAAGGATTGTGCTTTTAAACGCTCAGAATGTCTTGCCCCATAGACTTCCATTGTAAATGAATCACTTTTAACTAGTTGTTACTTTGTTTGTTTGAGTTTATATTAAACCCTGAGCTTTTTTTAATCTGGGAGCACAGAACAGCCACTGTTGGTTTGTTGTTTTCATTTACTCTTGCTAAGGGTTTGATAAATTGAATGGCATTGCGCTCAGTGAAGGAGAAACAAGATGTTTAGACTAAGTAGATGATTTAAAACACACTAATTGAAAGACTTCACGCTAATGCATGCCAGACATCCCAAATGACCTTTAATTGTTTCATTAGCAATTACATAAGAAGAATCTGACCCCTGATCTTCCCTCATTGTGTTTATCTCTGTGTGTGTTTTCAGAAGAGAGCTTGAAGACTCCGGAGAGGCAGGACACTGTTCTTTCTTTCCACACTATAGGAAGCAGTAAAGAGGTGATGGGCTCCTCCAGCACACTACAGGTGCATCATCTCATACTACAGCTCAGCTGAAAAAGCCCAACTACACTCATAACCAGTCCACACACAAATCCAATGGAGTTACTTTCAACTTGCCTGGTAACTTTATCAGGAGCATAATACATATGACAAATGATATCTGACCTACGGTGCTGAAACTGAAGTGTTCAACTCGCACATCTTTTACCACAGTGGAAAATTTTACATCAGTTTAATGCTGCCTGGGAATAGAACCTATGACCCTGCCGTTGCTAGCATCATGCCTTACTAGTTACAGCTGCACATTTGTCCATCACTTATATGCAAGGGGAAAACACAAAAATTGCATTATTTTTTATATTTCCAGTATAAAGCAATTAAAAAAAAAATCATGGCTTATTAGAAATATTTATAAAAAATATATAAAAATAAATTAATAAAATACAATAATACAATAATAAAAAATTAAATAAATGTATATGATATTTTTCTCTGATTGTTTTCCACTTAAAATTTTGACCCTACTCATAACTCACAATACTGACCTGCAAAAACCCCACAAGCCCTTTTTTTTACAGCTTTAACAGTTTGACTCCTTTCACTTCAGCATTAGAGTTAGTTATTACTTGTGTTATGTAAGTGAAACCATGCAAACTGGTGTTCAAAAGTTGGTGGTCAGCAAGATTTTTTTTTTCCAATATTGAAAAGTTGTGCTGCTTCCATGATACATTTTTTTTTTCAAGAGCAGCATTAATTTGAAATAGAAATCTTTTGTAACATTATAAATGCTTTACTGTCACTTTTGATCCGTGTAATGTGTTTTTGCTGATTAAAAATATTAATTTCTTTCATAAAAAAAAAAAAAGATCTTACTGACCCCAAACTTTCAAATGGCAGTGTACTTATCCTTCTGTTGTTGGCAGAGTTGTTAACAGTGTGTGTGTGTTCCTGGCAGAGCTTCAGTAATGCAGATCTTGTAGACGACGAGCCAGCTGGCGCGGAGCAGGACTGCTTATCTCCTCACTGGAAATGTTACGCCAAATACATCAGCCATCAGCAGATCCTGCTCACTTTCCTGCCAGCTACATTTACAGGTGCATCGTCTGTCAATGCCACACCAATTAGAGCTCAATAGTCCTTTAGGTTTACACACATCATGAGACTAAAGTAGGCCTGGGCGATAAAACGGTATCGTATTTATCGACGGTACACCTTCATCGATAACGATAGAAAAAATGTTCGATATAGCGCACGATATAGGCACGTGCTATGAGTGACAAGCAAACAGCCAACAGAACACATGCTGAAATGAGTGCTGTGCCTGCCTGTGATGAGGAGATTCTGAATAAAAATGAATATTAGTCGAATTTAAAATAAAAATTTGCATTTGAATGCAAAAATGGTGCAATTGAATGTTAGGAGTTCATCAGGGAGCGTCATCAGTGGCGCACGAGATGCGGTGATGATGATGTAAGTGTCATTGTTGCATTTTCATGTTTTTGTTAGTCTATCCAGTTGAACCCACGAGCGCACTACTGCTGCGCTATTCATTCAGAATATTAGAGAAATATTATAGTAGCTCAATGCATAGAAGATCTTGGTTAGGTTAAAACCGAAACCAAGCCATTCACACAGAACGCATATTCTATATGCCACAATTTTTTTTTTTTTTGGGGAATTTCAATTTACAATTTTATTTTGACAGATGTGCAGCTTTTGATGTCTTCTGGGCTGGAAACTGAACCTCCAATCAATAGCAGTCTCCTGGAAGAGAAGGAGACCTGTTGTCAGGGCAACGGCCAATCACAGGCTGACTCCATCAGCAGCTCTGCCAATGGTCCACAGGTTGGAACAGGTCAACATGGAGGAGACAGGAAGGGGTCCACGGTGGAACCAGAAGCAGCACTGGAGACATCTGCAGGACAGAGCAGCATGAACGCAAGTGATGCTGGTATGGGATTTTAAATTCTGATAAGTTTCCAGACTGGATTTGATGTGATAAAGTGGCAGAAATGGCAGAAACCATAACCAAACCAGGGAGTTTAGTTGTTCTTCTCATCACGGTTATTATAGATAACTTACAGTTATAGTATACTATATATAAGTAAGTTATAGTTATTTAAAGTTAAAAATTAAAAACTAAAACCATAAATAAACATTTTATTACTTTAAATATTATATTAACCTTTATTTATCCATGCACGTCAATGACGTTCTTATAAATGTAAAAATTTTTTATTGAATTGAATTGAATTAAATTTAATTTAATTTAGTGAAAAGTGAAAAAAAGTCCCAAAAATATATAGTGCCTTGCACTCCCAAATCAATCGTAGGCGAGTTGGATGACATTACAGTACAAACTGGAAGGCACAATTTCTCATGTTCATATTTAGTTTAACATGAACTAAAACTAAAACTGAAATAAATGTATAGACATAAAAAAAAAAAAGAATAATAAAAAGAAATAAAAATTGCAAAAGCTCACAACAAAATTACTAAAACATTAAAGGTGGGGTAAGCGATTTCTGGTAGACAATGTTGACATTTGAAATCACCAAAACAAACACAATTTTTTTTTTTTTTGGGGAATTTCAATTTACAATTTTATTTTGACAGATGTGCAGCTTTTGATGTCTTCTGGGCTGGAAACTGAACCTCCAATCAATAGCAGTCTCCTGGAAGAGAAGGAGACCTGTTGTCAGGGCAACGGCCAATCACAGGCTGACTCCATCAGCAGCTCTGCCAATGGTCCACAGGTTGGAACAGGTCAACATGGAGGAGACAGGAAGGGGTCCACGGTGGAACCAGAAGCAGCACTGGAGACATCTGCAGGACAGAGCAGCATGAACGCAAGTGATGCTGGTATGGGATTTTAAATTCTGATAAGTTTCCAGACTGGATTTGATGTGATAAAGTGGCAGAAATGGCAGAAACCATAACCAAACCAGGGAGTTTAGTTGTTCTTCTCATCACGGTTATTATAGATAACTTACAGTTATAGTATACTATATATAAGTAAGTTATAGTTATTTAAAGTTAAAAATTAAAAACTAAAACCATAAATAAACATTTTATTACTTTTAAATATTATATTAACCTTTATTTATCCATGCAAGTCAATGACGTTCTTATAAATGTAAAATTTTTTTATTGAATTTAATTGAATTAAATTAAATTAAATTTAGTGAAAAGTGAAAAAAAGTCCCAAAAATATATAGTGCCTTGCACTCCCAAATCAATCGTAGGCGAGTTGGATGACATTACAGTACAAACTGGAAGGCACAATTTCTCATGTTCATATTTAGTTTAACATGAACTAAAACTAAAACTGAAATAAATGTATAGACATAAAAAAAAAAAAGAATAATAAAAAGAAATAAAAATTGCAAAAGCTCACAACAAAATTACTAAAACATTAAAGGTGGGGTAAGCGAGTTTTCTAAAGCGTTTTTGAAAAATCACTTACCCCACCTTTAACTAAAATTACAAGGAAAACAAAATGTAAAAATAAAAAACTAATTCAAAATATTAAATAGTATCTTAATGCCACAAAAAAAGCTGTTTCACATGTTACAGCTGGTTAGGACAAAAAATTATCATGAGTGGGAGAGTTGTTTATATTAATAACTGTCTGATATCTTTCAGCTTCAGAGGAGAAGGACGGCGTTCAGTTTCTGGAGCCGCAGAAGCGAGACTGTCACATCACGTTTGGCAGACAGACGTCTCAGCAGAGCAGTGCTGACGCAGCACGACCCCGCTGCCCCATCTACATCTACAACTGCTCACTGGACTCCCTCAAAGAGCAGCTGGTCCACCCGTTCTCAGGACGCCAGCCCAGAGACGTCTTCTTCAGGTACTGAGGCACTCTCCCACATGCAGATGAAAGCTACGGTGTGTAGCATGAAGGTCTCAGGACATCAGCTCTGTTCCAAACCTTAGAGAGCGGCCTACTGCATACATAGACAGCTACATTCTTAGGCAGCGTCTAACTGATGAAGGACCTAATAAGTAACAGTATTTTTATTTATTAGTTTTACTTTTAGTTTTGTCATTTTGGTACTTCAAGTTAAATTAAATGAAAATGAGAAAAGACGATTCATATTTTTGTTTTTTATAATTTTATATTTTTAATATTATTTATATTGCTGTTTCCACTTTAATTTTAGTTAAAGTATTAGATTTACTTTATTTAGTTTAGTTATTTTGGTACTTCGAGTTAAACTTTGAAGTTTTTGTAATTTCGCGTTTTTGTCATTTTTATTTAAAAATGCCTATGGAGTTTTTATTCATTTTTATTTATTAGTTTTACTTTAGTTGTTTTGATGCTTCAAGTTTAACTAAATGAAAATGAGAAATGTAGATATATGATAACTGAAATATTTTATTTTATTTTAGTTAAAGTTTGTTTAATTTCAAGTAACAGAATTTAAAAAAAAAATGGTTTTAGTTTTAATTAACTCTAATAACTAACCCCCGATATGTGACTGAATTTAAAAGCTGAATTTAAAACCAATAAACATAGCAATAAATGGTCTGGATAAAAGCATTGATAACACCCTTATGTCTAATAAAGTTGCCTCGGTAGGCGGCTCGCTGTGTTTTGGAACAGAGCTGTTGTGTTTGATCTGTGGTCGTCCTAATGTTGTACTGTCTGGTTTCTCTTTGGATGAGAATAGAGCTCAAGAGACAGACTCCTGGGAGTTCAGTCAGCAGCCCAAATACAGGTAGCCCTGCTTACTGCTTCCTGCTGCCGCCCTACAGCGGGACGGGGCGGGAGGGGAGGGGATGAGGGGTGTGAGGGGGCCGCTTTGGCCCCGTCACCTTAAGGATGACCCTTCTTTCTTTCTCTTTCTCTGGAGGGTTTTGCTGTTCTACGAATGTGACTGTAATGAGGGGATATTAGGCTACTGAGGTCTTATAAGGATATGAGGGCTTAAAATAACAGAATGAAGACAAGTTTATCTCTGTATATGCATTACCATTCAAAGTTGGGGTTTGTAATTTTGTTTTTAAACAATTGAATAGTTTTATTTAGCAAGGACGCATTAATTGATCAAAAGTGACAGTAAAGACATTTATAATGTTATAAAAGATTTTATTTCAAATAAATGCTGTTCTTTTACTTTTTATTCATCACATAGTCCTGAAAAAAATGATGAAGCAGCACAACTGTTTTCAACATTGATAATAATCAGAAATGTTTCTTGAGCAGCAAATCAGTATATTAGAATGATTTCTGATGATCATGTGACACTGAAGACTGGAGTAATGATGCTGAAAATTCAGCTTTGATCACAGAAATAAATTACATTTTAAAATATATTCAGATAGAAAACTTATTACTTATAAACTTATTATTTTAAATTGTAATAATGTTTCACAATATTATTGATTTTTCTGTATTTTAATGCAGCCTTGGTGAGCAGAAGAGACTTCTTTCAGAAACATTAAAATATCTTACCAACCCCAAACTTTTCAACATTAGTTTGTATATTGTTGTTGATTGGGGTGCACAGTGATCTGGATTGTTCTATATTATATTACCTATTCAGGGATCTTATCTATGCACAATCAGCTTGTAACAGTCCAAAGAGAAAGGAAAACTTGAAATCGCATCATATGATCCCTTTAAGATGTCATATCCTGCTGAGGGTTGTTTTCTCTGCCTTCTGGTGTTCAGTACCAGTCAAAAGTTTGGACAAAAAGTTTATGATGAATGTCTCAGTCAGCAGATCTGGAATCTACACAAAAAAGAAGGTCCAATTCAAAGGAGGTTTATTTTATTTTATTCATTTTACTTTACTTTTTATTTATTTGCATTCCCATGCCTCCATATATGTTATATTTCATTATGAGTTCCAACCGAGTTGAAAAGAGTCATAACGAAGCATGAGTAGATGTGTCCAAACGTTTGACTGATAGTGTACATACTTAAATTAAAGAGGTTCGCTCCCTGCATGTAGACATTTAGGACATCTCAAGACATTCAAAATGAGGCTAAATGACTGTAATGTATAACTTATGCCCTCTTTATTCTTGATGTATTTGAGGGATTAGTATTTGTTCTCAGTCTTTGTCGATCTGGTATATTCTGCTGATAAACGTCTGTCTCGGTGGCAATGTCTGAGTACTCAGTGCTCATCTGAGCAACCCAAGTCTTAGGCTGCATATTATATTGGTGTCTTCAACGTCTTGATTTTTTCTACTTCGCTTTCCCTTTAAATGTATTTTTCCTGCTTTGTTGACCACAGAAATGGTAAACCTATGCCGTATAAATCTTGGGTGTTGTTGCTTCATGGCTGTAAATCTGTTTTGCGTGCTTTTAAAGCTGGTTTGATATTTTCCTGTCCACTTCAGCAGCAAACACGACTAGTATTTATGTTTGATGATCCGCTGGACTGAAGATAAATGAAATCCTATTGCACTGTGCTATTGTGCGGCTTAATATAAAGTATTACACTGATGTTTTGGCCACTGATATTTAAAATCAAGACCATCAGCAACCAGCCATTAAGTACTGATATTTTTAAATAATTAATTAAACATGTTTATTGCACTTTCTAGAGTCTATAATCACCTTTTTTCTTGCACGTAATATAGTCAGTAAATACAGACCCAAATTAATAAAATCTGAAAAACAGAAAGCATGCATTTGCTTCTTGTACAAATGTCGGACAGATATGGTTGTTGCATGTTGTCTCTCTGTTTTCTAACACTATTGCATTTTCATAAAGGTGTCTTTTTTTTCAGAAATTGCAAATAAATTGGCTTATTTATTCATTATAAATATTTATTAATTTATTTATTTAACGTAATGAGTGTTGTGTAAATTAGGTCTGACTCAATGTTACTACAATAATATAATTTTTTTGTACATATTTATAGGGCTGTAATTCAGCTGCGTTTGAATATAAATGCATCAGCTAAAATCAAAATGCTGATCTGATGACAAAGTTGAAATACGTCACAGAAGTTTTCACAGAGTTTTTCTCTGTAATAGACATATGGATAAATGTTTGACTTTGGTATCTTGGGTATTGCTTTTTCTGCTGCTTGCCTCTGCTATTTTAGGCTGCTGTCTGGTGTAGTGTTGTAGGAAATGTCTGGCAGATTGTGGCGTGCTGTTATCTGGTGTGTGTGTGTGTGTGTGTCTCTGGACAGGTCAATCTCTCAGGAGCGCAGCAGCGCCTCCTCCTGGACGGAGCTCATGACGCACCCTCACAAACACAAAGAACTGGCCAACTACTGCAGCCTGCTTCAGGAGCACTACTACCAGAGCTATGTCAAAGGTCACATGCTAACATATGCATATATATGCATAAAGCTTAAATAAATACAAATATAAATAAATAAGCATAAAAATATTTAAGCACATTTATCTTCGTATAAAGCAACAACAAAAAAATCTCATTACTGTATTGAGACAAGACATTTGTAATTACATTTATGGTAACATTTTACAATAATAAATTTACAATTTGTTAACTATATTTAATTCTTTAACTAACATTAACTTACAATGAGCAATACATTTGTTACAGTATTTATTCATCTTTGTTAATGTAAAAATACAACTGTTTATTGTTAGTCCATGTTAGCACAGGTCTGTTAAATAACATTAATACAACTTTTGATTTTAATAATGTATTAGTAAATGCTGGAATCAACATTAACTACGATTAATAAATGCTTTTAAGTATTTTTTTATTGTTAGATTACATTAACTAATGTAGTTAACTAATGTTAACAAATGGAACCTTATTGTAAAATGTTACCACATGTATTTTATTATTTAAAAATAAAAATATAAATAAAAAAAAATATATATTTTTTAAGCATTTAAGCACATGTAGGTCCCGCATTCTCTTTAGTGTAGAGTCCATACATTTTTAAATTACATTTATTTATTTTATTATTAAATCGAAATAAATATGCAAAAAAAAAAAAAAGAAAGCATTTAAGCACATTTATGTCCCGAATTCTCAGAGTAATGCAAAAAAAGAAAAAAAATCTAATTCTCATTATTGCTTTGAATCTGGACATTTTTCAATTAAATTGATTATTATTTTAAAATAAAATGTTTTTTATTTTATTATTTCATTAGGTTTTTTATGTAATTCACATTGTTCTCAATGGTTATTCATTAGTGTCTCATTACTGAGATTATTAATGGGAATCAACCTGTCCCGATACTTGATTTTTTTCATGTTTGTCTAAATAAAAGTAATTTAATTAATTAATTGATTAATTAATGTATTTGATTTAAAATATTTACTATCTCTGCGGATCTACAATAAAAAACAATCAAACATTAGTTTGATATAAATACTTGCGAATATACATAATGTATTTCACTAATATGAATTGGGGCAGAAAATGTGTTCATAAAAATATCACCATAAAAATATGCAAAATGATGTTAGAGTCATTTTCACAGCAGATGATTTCATTGGTCTTGTGCCTGTGTTGATTGACAGGTGTTTATCGCAGTCTGCAGCAGTCGCACAACGTGAGCTCGCAGGACCTACTGACGGCTATGGACTACTGCGAGGAGTCGCTGCAGGAGATTGACATCACTTCCTTCCTGCAGACACTCTGCGGACACGTGCGTGTGTTTCGTGAGCGTCATGAGCTTCACGGCTCTGTCAACGTAAGCAAGTCCAGGAACGCTCCCACCACCTTCATCATCGGAGAGGAAGAGGATGATGGAGCTGACAGAGCCACGCTGGTGTCTTCATCCAGGTACTGACCACAGAGCAATGCATCCTGGGAATTAATGCTTTGTTTTCATTGTATTCATCTATTATTATGTATTTTTCTCAAAGTATTGAGCTGGAGGATGTGAGTGAAGGTGAGTCCAGAGGGAAAGTCTCTGCTCCCACATCCCCGCTGGACCTGGACGAACCGAAGTCTCCAAAAATCCCAGAATTCCCTCTGTCTCTCCTCCAGTCCCAGCAGAAATGTGAAGTGTATCCTGATTTACACAAAATCATACAGGTATAGTTGACACCTGGCATCAGGGATGTAGAAATGGCATTTTTAAAGGGGTCATCCGATGCCCATTTTCCACAAGTTGATATGATTCTTTAGGGTCTTAATGAAAAGTCTGTAATATAGTTTGGTTAAAATTTCTCAATGGTAGTGTAAAACAACACCCTGTCAAAAGCCGCTCTCTGAGAGACGGTAAACTTTAGCCGCATTCATCGTGAAACATTACTAGGAAAGGCGATTTGCATAGATTCATTAAAAAACCTTATACTCACTTCTCCTGTAGGTGAAGCTGGATCACGAATGATTCGTGCGAACATAGACACATTTATGTAGATCGGGGGCGCATTCCCTTCAGAAACAATGTAATCCACTGCGTCTTCAGCGGCTCAGATGTCGGGAGTAAATGACGACTGCTATGTTCATTATTACATCCAACAACAGAACACCTCAATCGCCAAGAATCGTCATTCTGCCAAGAATCTGAGAACGGCTTGATATGAGAAAGGAGATTTAAAAAAAAAAAACACTGGGTGAATTTTTATCATTATAGGGCGGTTGTGTACACACTGCCAAGACACATTTTAGTTCAAACAACATGTGAAAGTGAATTTTGCATCCGATGACCCCTTTAAAACACAACTGTTGCAGATATGATATTACACATTCTGTTTGTTTTACAGGATAAGTTCATGGAAATTGGTGCTCAGTATTTCAAGACGGTACCGTCCAATCCACATTATTTCTTTTACTGCCTTCCATCTTCCAAAAAAGAGGTGCGTTAACATTTTAGTATTCTGTTTTTTTTTTATGTGCATTTTAGCAGAATTAATGTGCTCCAGTGTTTGCTGAATCTGCAGCATCACAGCAACATCAGGGGCCTGTTTCCTAAAACAAGTTAACCAAATAAGCCAGGTTTATTTCAGTTAGTCTAACTTATTGTCAGCCGATTTGGTTCAAAATAAGTCAGACTAACTGAAATAAGCCTGGCTTATTTGGTTAACTTGTTTTAGGAAACAGGCCCCAGGTCATTATGTTAAGAGTTTGCAGTCTGAATTGACTGATAAGGTAAAAAGATACAAAATATTCTAATATTATATTTAATAAGACATAAAATAATTTAAATGTATCAATTCATTTGAATATTTAATCATTAAAATTATATAGGGATGTGTTATATTTATACAGATTTCAGCTCTGCAATCGCTGTGAGTTTTGGTCATTTCAGTCTGTGTGCATTGAATTTATTTAATACACGAGTTTCACAATTTGAGTTGAATTACTGAAATAAATGAACTTTTCCACGACATTCTAATTTATTGAGATGCACCTGTATACATGCATTTGAAAGTGCAAAATGCACCAACTATTTTACCAACTATTGTCCAAAGAGAAGCTTTAAGGTCTCACTGTTTTTTTCCAGCAAAATAAAAGCTCTATATTTTATTATTATTATTATTATTATTGTTGTTGTTGTTAATTATTTTAAATTCACATTAAATAGTCTTTTTGCAATAGTAATTTTTGTTTATTTATTGATTTGTTTCATTTTTATAATTTAAATATTATTATTATTATATATTTTTATTATTATTATTTTTATAATTGTATAGTGATATTGAATCGATTTTTTCCTTCTTCGTCCTTATCTGATTTTGCCTGTTACTAAATTAACACCTTACTGTCTGGAAGTTTATATGACAGTATGTACTAAAAGATATACATTCACAGAAGAGTTTGTTTTAATACATTGTATTTTCATTTGAAAGATGCACACATTACAAAAAAATATATATATATTTTTAGTCAACCCTGCTCAAACACTGGGTACCTAGTCAAGCTACTGAGTGTCAAATCAGCGCTCATCTTTTTAGCAGGACTTTGTAAACATGAATGGTTTATGGCATAGTCTTCCTTTCCTCTCGTTCACCGTCCGCAGGAGGATTCAGACAGAGAGGGAGAGCGGAGAGCCAGCGAGGACTGTGAGGTGTCTGAAGCTGAACTCGCCACAGAAGACGGTTAGACATCATTCATGACACACTGAATGTTCAGTTTCCTCCCTGAGTGCTGCACTTTAACATCTTCTGTATCTGAGTGTCCACCTCAGTTTCATTTTGAAGACATTTAATGCCATTTGCAACATAAGCACATTAGTGTCTAACAGTAATATTTCTCTCACTAAATACGCGTCATACATAAAGAAAATAATAGTGTTTTAAACATCTATTTAGATGAATGAGGCTTCAGATGGATTGTGAAAAGTTTGCTATGATATTATTGATTAATAATATTTTTCCTTGTATGCACAGCCATGGTGCAACAGCATTGATGAATGAACATTTTAACAGGGAGTTTAAAAGGGTATATTGATTTCATGCTATTTATTTATTTTATTTATTTCAGGTTTATTTGACAGGGACAATTCACATCAATAATACATAAATGTACAATGTGCCAGAATTAGCCAGAAGACTATTTTGCCTCTGCAGTCCCTGGACTGATGGTAATTATTGTCACCCTAAAAATATAAAGAATTAATCAATACATACTACTTACATACTCCAAAATACATATAACATTCACACTATTCCTTAAAAAAAAACCATCCGCTTAAAAGTTATACTATACATAGAACCAACAAATCAATACAAGCTCACTCATACACACACAATCCAACTGTCAACAAAATAACAAACAATGTATCAATAATATCATCTCAATATACATACAAAGATAATGTAAGCATACAGACAAGTAACAGTAGCCCTAATCATTCAATCAGTACTAAACCAAACAACCTCATATACATAGCATAAAAATCTCAAACTAGTAGAGCAGAAAAGACAAGACCGCAGCAGAGTTTAGTTTATAAAATTTGTTAAGTTTATGTGAATTTATTAGTAAACTCGAAGAATATTAAAACATGCATATCCGTATTTATCCTTTGCGTATGCACAGAGAACGTGTCGGGCTGCTGCATCGTGACGGAGAGTGACACGGATCTGGAGGTGGAGTATCAGGATTGTGGGAATGGCAGAGCGGAGGCTGGAGGACAGGGAGCAGGTGAAGGCGAGTCTCCGTCGGACTCCAACACGGTGAACCAGGACGAGGACTCCTTCAGTATTCTGGACGGAGACTCTCTGCTGGGGGTGGAGGGTCCGCAGCCGGAGATGCCGCCTCTGTTCGTGCACCTCACCTGCTCCGTCAACATGAAGAGCTGCCATGGCTCCATGCCCACGCAAACACTGCCAACCTGTCTGGGTGAGACACTGAACACACCACTGACTACAGCTGTTTTGTACTCTGTGTGCTTGCAGCCATTTAACAGAGTCATATTCTACAACACTTCTGTTGCATTTAGTTTTTTCCCTTAAGTCCACTAACAGCGTCAGTCAAGATTTCTTGACCAAAAAATGTATCATTTTGTTTCTCATGGCCATTTTTTTTTTCATAATAACTTGTTAAATACATATATACATAAATACATATGTAAATGTAGGTGATCTTATGGTTAGGTTATGGTCGTGACCTGGAAAAGGCATGAAGGTTTTGGTTGTGAATGTAACGTAATCATTTAAAAAGTGACGTGACATGTCTTGATATCTTCGTGCTCACGTTACCTCTGGAGATCGAGGTCATGACTCCTGACTTCCACCACAACAGGTCAGTGATTGTGAAGCGTCCTAGATTTGGGAAAGAATCAAACAGCGTGGCTCCAGCTAGAGTGATCCTGATTTTTCTCTGTACATGTGTCAAAGACGAAAAAGGGTTTAAGCATAAAAACAATAAGTGTAATACTGCTTTAAATTGTTGATGTTTTCCCCAAAAATTTTTTAAAAAAATTCTGTTTAGTTTAATTGCAATTTTGTTTTTGTTTTTCTGAGCAAAAAATAAATATAATACATTTTTCCCTGATTTACAGAAGAGACCCACTAAAATGTCATTCAGTGTAACAATCTTGTCAGGCATATTTACAACAAAAATCAATTTATGACATATTTAAAGACTAAGTACTTTCACCCCAAATACTAATTATTTGTAATTTTACATTTTTAAAATTTGCCACTTTTTTTTTTACTCATTTAAAACACAATCAAATTTAATATGCTCCCTTATTCTTTTATATATTTTAATATGTACATGTCAGAATAAGCATGTTGTTTGAATTTTTACATAAATATTGTGTTGCACTGAATGACAATGTAACATTATTTCAACCAAATTTTTATGTCACTCTTGATATCTTCGTGCTCACGTTACCTCTGGACATCGAGGTCATGGCTCCTGACTTCCACCACAACAGGTCAGTGCTTGTGAAGCGTCGCAGAGTGAGGAAGAAAACAGCATGGCTGCAGCTGGAGTGATCCTGATGGTTCTCTGTGCATGTACTGTAGATACACGTCTGAGAGCAGCGTGTCTCTGAACCGCTCTCCTGGACAGCCCTCGTCCTATCGCTCTGACGAGGAGCTCATGGCTAATCTGGACGGCCTGCGCGGGGTCGGTGTGGAAAGGTGAGCGTTCGGAGCTCAGCAGACATCATCTGTTGCCAAATATCTTCAGTAATAACTTTTTATTTTGTCATCTTCTGCAGTATGTCTGGAGATCCCCTGTCCAAACTTCCTATTCTGCACAAAATGGCTGTTTTAGCCACCATGGATGAGGTGAGAGTGCAAATGAAATGAAAATAAGTTTTTCTTTTTTTTATTTAATAATATTATAATTTTAAATTATGTAAAATTATTACATTGTTAAATAATTAGTAATTCCCATTAGTTATTCTTTGCTAACATTAACTAACAGTGAGAAATACATTTGTTGTATTATTTATTAATATTAGTTAATAAAAATGCAACTATTTGTGACCCTGGACCACAAAACCTTAAGGGTCAATTTTTCGAAATTGAGATTTATACATCATCTGTATACATCAACATTTATTGTTAGTTCATGTTAGCTCAATTCCATTAAATAATATTTCCAGATTCAACTTTTCATTTTAACAATGCATTGGTAAATGTTGCATTTAGCAATGATTAATTAATGCTTGTAATAAAGTATAACGTTACATTGCTAATTCATAAATGATGAATTAACTAAATTATAAATAATTATTATAAATAATGTAGTTAATGGTAACAAATGGAACCTTATCGTAAGGTGTTACCCAATTATTTAACATTGATCCAGTAATGAAAGCACAGTATATGAAATATGCAGTGAAAGTTCAGACTGTTTATTATTGCAAAAGGAGGATCTCTCTAAGATATTGTTTTTGTCTGTCTCTGACGAGTGTTACTTTAGTATCATTAATAATCTATTAGTTTTCATTAATATTTTGAATTAGTTTTTGTTTTTTTCCATTTTCCATTTTCAGTTGAAATTTTAGTAGTCATTTTGTTCTGTTTTTGTCATTTTATTAGTTTTTTTTAGATGTCTATTGTTTTTAGTAATTTTTTTATTTCAGTTTTAGTTATTTTCGTACTAAAACTAAACAACAATTAGAGATGTTACCTAACTGAAATAAAATATATATTTTTTTAATAATTATTACATGTATTTTACTTACGATTTGTTTTATGGTTTTAGTTTAGTTTTTGTTATAATATATAATGTATACATTTATAAAAATAAATAATGATATATACAGTACTTTATGTGAGCCTGGAGCACAAAACCAGTCTTAAGTTGCACGGGTATATTTGTAGCCAACAAAACATCGTATGGGTCAAAATGATCGATTTTTCTTTTATGCCAAAAATCATTAGGATATTAAGTAAAGATCATGTTCCATGAAGATATTTTGTAAATTTCCTACCATAAATATATCAAAACTTAATTTTTGATTAGTAATATGCATTGCTAAGAACTTAATTTGGACAACTTCAAAGGCAATTTTCACAATATTTAGATTTTTTTTTTTTGCATCCTCAGATTCCAGATTTTCAAATAATTGAATCTCGGCCAAATATTGTCCTATCCTAACAAACCATACATCAATGGAAAGCTTATTTATTCAGCTTTCATATGATATATAAATCTCAATTTCCCAAAATTTACCCTTATGACTTATGGTTTTGTGGTCCATGGTCACATATAACATCATATTCATAACCCTGTCTGTGACCTGTTTCAGATCCGTTGGCTGTTGGAGGATGAGATAGTCTCTGCTCTGCGGCACTCGTCTGTTATCAGCTCCTTCACGCTGCAGAAAGTGTCGGAGCACGTGTGTCGCTCCAGCGGCCGCCCGCAGTGCCACTGTGAGCTCGTTCCCCTGCAGTTCGTATTTGGTCCCGAGCAGTCGCTGGAAAAGTTTCAAGAGGTTTGAACTCATGCGATGACCTCTATTATTGATGATAAGACTCTCCAGGAAAGGTCAGGAACGAGATCATGTTCTGCCCCGCTGTTTAATAACACGTCTCTGCTTCCTCGCTGCAGGAGTTCAAGAGGTTATCGCTTCCTGGTTACCTGCTGAACGCCGAGCAGCACAACTTCCACTACGTCTCACTGAGTCGCCAGCAGTCTCACAGGCTTCAGGCCACGACACAGCTGTCTAACATCGCTGCTCAGTACTCAACGGCTGCAGGAACAGTGTCTCGGCAGAGCAGCCTGTGTCCTGAGGTGGAGGACGGAGCCAGAGCATCAGCAAACAGAGAAGCAGAGTCCAAGAAAAAAGAGCCCGACACTGAGGTAGTTATCAGCAATCTTTGAAACCATACCTGAAGAAATGCATTGCATTTGTTTAATGATGAAGTTATCACATTAACTTTAAAATAAAGTGTGGTTTAAGTAAATGTATGTAACACTCAGATTTAACAAAGTTGACTTGCTGTCATCTGGAATATGATTCCTCTGTTTTTCCCGCAGCTGGTGGAGTGTGGAGAAGCGCAGAGGGCTGATGAGGACACGCGGCCTGCAGCAGCTGATTCAGCCAGCGAGTCTCTCTCCGAGACCTCTGACCCCGGGCAGCTCAAACAGGCCGACGCGGAGGAGACTCGACCTCAGAGTGACGCTCACCTGCAGGCGGGCAGCAGCAGCACCGAGCGCTCATCTGATCACACGTCGCCTCCCAAAACCCCCTCCGCCGCCAGCCTGGCCGAATCCGTGCAGTCCACCACACACAGTGAGTGTCACGAGAAACCCGCCTCATCCGACTGTACTGAAATGCTGCTTGTGAACTCACATTTGCATTTAGTCATTTAGCAGATGAGGAGAACAATAGAAGCAATCAGAGCAACAAGAGAGTAACAGTATACAAGTGCTGTGACAAATCTCAGATAGTCTTAACACATTACACATTGCAAGTTTTTTTCTTTTTTAAATAAATAAATTAGACTAAAACAAATAGAATAGAATAGGTAAGTGCTAGTATTAATTGGTCCGGTGCTGGCGAAAAAGATGCATATTTAGACATTTTTTGAAAATGGCTAAAGGACTCAGCTGATCGAATTGAGATATAGGCAGGGCGTTCCAGACAGTCCAGAAAAAGGTCAGTGAGAGCGAACGAGGCGGCGTTCACTTGCAAAGTATTTTTGGCTTTTGCTACAAATATACCCCAGCGACTTAAGACTGCTTTTGTGCTCCAGGGTCACATATTGGTGCAGTGCCAGTGGTTGTCTTGTAAGCAAACACCAGTACCTTGAATTTGATGCAAGCGGCTATTGGCAGCCAGTGCAAACTGTTAGACTCTGACAGTGTTGGGGAGTAACTAGTTACATGTAACAGAATTACGTCATTTAATTACAAAATAAATGTAACCAATCTGTTACAGTTACTGTGTGAAAAAAATTGTGTAATTAAATTACAGTTACTTGTGAAAATGTTAACGATTACAAAGGAATATTTTCACACACAAACAGATTTGAGTGATTTCTTTCCAAAATTGCATTGACTGCTCTAAAATATGAGACACCAATGCTTCAGGAGTTTAGGCTTGTGTATATTTTTTAATTAAATGTTTTTTTTTATTGTTAGATGCCAGTGTTTCCTGTCCTAGCTGTGCAAAGATTTGATTTCAAAAACAGTATCATAGCTATAAAACTATATATTTTGTTATGATTTCAAATCTGTATTTTACCTCAGAACAATCTCAAAGTAAAAAGAGGTGCTAAAGTCTGATTTTGTGGTGGCTGTGCTTTAAAATTAAATGATTATAATCTTAATTCAAGTGATGAAGGATTTTGAAATTCTGACGGTAATCAGTGTTGAGTACTACTGTAAGGTTAACCCTGCCTGCTTTACATGTTTGAAAATGATTAACAGTTTAGAAAAATGTAGAAATTAGAAGTAGCCTAATCAAAAAGTAATCAAATGCAATCAGTTACATTACTTTAATAAAGTAATTTAAATAGTTACACTACTTATTGCATTTTAAATAGGGTAACTCGTAATCTGTAACCTATTATATTTCCAAAGTAACCTTCCCAACACTGGACTCTAATTATGTGAAAAGTTGCAAAAAAAAGCCTGCATACTATGAGGATGAAAAAGACAACAAAGAAGCATTTCAATGCCAATTACAATGCCATGTGCAAGAGTCATCATAAAGGAATAGTTTAACCAAAAATGAAAATTTACTGAAAATGTCCTCTCCCTCAGCCCATCCAAGATGTAGATGAGTTTGTTTGTTCATCAGATTTGGAGAAAGATAGCATTTCATCACTTGCTCAGCAACAGATGCTCTGCAGTGAATGGGTGCCGTCAGAATGAGAGTCCAAACAGCTGATAAAAACATCACAATAATCCACAAGTAATCCACACCACTCCAGTCCATCAGCTAACATCTTGTGAAGCCAAAGAAATCTGCACAGATCAAAACACCGTTTAGAAGCCAAAACAGATCTTAACAAATATGTGGGTGGATTTCGATGTGAGAGACAACAGGGGATGAACTTTTTCATTGGAGGAAGCATTATTATGGATTTTGGCCAGAAGTCTGAAGTTAAAAAGTCTTAATGATGGATTTGTTTCTTTTGGCTTCACAAGACATTAACTGATGGACTGGAGTGCTGTGGATTACTTGTGGATTATTGTGATGTTTTTATCAGCTGTTTGGACTCTCATTCTGACGGCACCCATTCACTGCAGAGGATCCACTTGTGAGCAAGTGATGTAATGCTACATTTCTCCAAATGAGGAGCCATTGGTGAGCAAGTGATGTAATGCTATATTTCTCCAAATCTGATGAAGAAACAAACTCATCTACATCTTGGATGGCCTGAGGGAGAGGACATTTTCAGTAAATTTTTATTTTGGGGTGAACTATTCCTTTAAAACAGAGATCGATGACGGTTGAATATGTCACATGATCAAAAAAATTTATTTTGGATCATGTGATTATTTCTTTTGCCTCTTTGGATTATTGTGTCTTACACATGTCGACTTTTTGGATGTTTTCTGGTGCAGTGATTTTGTTTGTTTGTTAGACTCTAATAATAAAGTTCATACTATTTATTCTAAGCGGCTTTGAATTCCTGTTGCTTTCAGGCAGTGGGAAACTGCGGCCCAGTCGAGTTCAGAGCGTCGTCTCCAGTCAGGGCAGCCTGGACTCAGACATGCTGGGTGAGGCTTCACACAACACACAGCATGATAAAACATCACAGTCATCATTCCTCATGGTCCCTCTGCTCTCTGCTGTGTGTGTGTCAGGTTATGATGGAGGCAGCAGTGATTCTGAGTGCGACGGACCCACAATGAATGAGCAGGAGAGACAGACGCCGCTCATGCCTGATTTCTGGCTCATCATCAGAATTCATCAGGACAGAGTGGAGGTTTTCTCTCATGCCAGGTACTGCTCCAGAGACACGCTCAGGTTATAAAATTCACATTCAGAAAGCGCCAAATGCAAGCAAAAATCAGCAAGTGAAAGAATTGGCTGGTAGACCTTTTTAAGGCTCGATTAACATCGCAATGTAAGAAAGATGGTTTCATCGCTGTCTCATAGTTTTTGTGGACATGGATGATTGTTGTTTTGGTAAGGAGGGTATACCAAAAATATAAGGGGTGTATATATATATATATATATATATATATGTATATGTATTGATTATTTGATATTATTATATACTTATTAATTAGTGAAATTATTTATTTTATAAAATATTGCTTTATAAATAATTATTTTATAAATAATACTTTAAAACTTATTTTCTAACATTATATAATATATAATACACACACATATAAATATAATTTAACATTTATAAAATGTAAAATGGTCAAAAACAATTTATTTTACTTATTATACAAATAATGAATTATAAATAATGAAATGTTATTTGATAATTATTCATTTATTAATTTAAATTACATTTGATTACTGAATTATAATATTAGTATAATATTATTTAAAATATGCATATATAAATAAAACATTTTATTTTACATTATATTTTACAATATTTATTGTTGACTTCAAAGCTGTTACCAAAATTATTATGAAAAAAAAAAAATCTGTAATTTATGGAAAGAGTTTAGTTACCCGTTCATGGAAATATGCCTCATGTTTTTGTAAGTTTTATGCCTATAAATGAGTTTTTGTGTTCAGTTGTGTTCTAAATACATGAAGCATACAAATGAGCAGCTTGAGCTGAAATTGCAACGCTTTTCCCCAGACATGTAAACAAAACTGAGTTTTGCATTTTCCAGCTGAGAATGTTAAAACAATTTGTAGTGTTGTGAATCTTGAGCGTTGTGTTGGCAGGAGTTTTAACAGAGAGGAAGAGGAGGAGATCAGCCATTGGTGAGCAAGTGATGTAATGCTATATTTCTCCAAATCTGATGAAGAAACAAACTCATCTACATCTTGGATGGCCTGAGGGAGAGGACATTTTCAGTAAATTTTTATTTTGGGGTGAACTATTCCTTTAAAACAGAGATCGATGACGGTTGAATATGTCACATGATCAAAAAAATTTATTTTGGATCATGTGATTATTTCTTTTGCCTCTTTGGATTATTGTGTCTTACACATGTCGACTTTTTGGATGTTTTCTGGTGCAGTGATTTTGTTTGTTTGTTAGACTCTAATAATAAAGTTCATACTATTTATTCTAAGCGGCTTTGAATTCCTGTTGCTTTCAGGCAGTGGGAAACTGAATATGCCTCATGTTTTTGTAAGTTTTATGCCTATAAATGAGTTTTTGTGTTCAGTTGTGTTCTAAATACATGAAGCATACAAATGAGCAGCTTGAGCTGAAATTGCAACGCTTTTCCCCAGACATGTAAACAAAACTGAGTTTTGCATTTTCCAGCTGAGAATGTTAAAACAATTTGTAGTGTTGTGAATCTTGAGCGTTGTGTTGGCAGGAGTTTTAACAGAGAGGAAGAGGAGGAGATCCCAGAGTACCTGCGTCTTCATCAGCTGGTGGTGAGGAGGATTGGAGAAATGTGCCGAATAGTCAACCAGGTAAAGAACAGCCTTTTCACTCTCAGCATGAAGTCTGGTCCATTTTGCAGCTCATTCTGCTCAGAAAGACCCACTATCTCCTGGCCATCGCCTCAGATCCTTAACCGCTGCTTTCCACTTTTCTACTGTTTAACCTCCCTTGACTTTCTCCACAGCGCCTCCTACTGCAGGACTTGCATGACAGTCGCGTGTGCCACTCTCTCTTAGTGGCTGAGAGCGAAGAGGACATCTGGAAGCACGAGTCGCTCTACAGGCCCAGGATGACCAACTCAGACGGTACAGTACTTAATGCCACCGCCGAATGACTGACACACACTCTTTCTGCATGCAGCAGCCATATGCATGCCAGAGCAGGGGTCGCAACCTCTTTGACAGGAAGTGGCGATTTTCTTGTAATCACTTGTAGGCATGTTTTTTCGTATTTAAAAATAGCTAGACCTAAATCTGTCCGAAAATATTAATCTTCATATATAAAAAGCTTACTTATGGAACCAAACGTTCCAGCTCAGTCTGCTTTGCTTTTCCATTTCCTTTTAATTTCATCACACATTTGGAGTCTTTAATGCCAAATGAGATGGGAGAGTAGCCCATACTGATTATTACTAAATAAAACTGATGCTGAAGGTTAAAAGTTAAATAGCTGTGAGTTACTATTTCTAATGACTAAATAAAACACATATGCATGAAATATTGATCTCTTTCACTCTTATTGCTCCAGATCCATGCACATGCCAGAGTCAATTATCTAATTGAGATTGTATGTATGTATTTAATTACTTATTTAGTTATATTTTTTATCGCTCTGAAACTAAAGTTTAAAAAAACAGATTTGCCAAAAAAATTGTGGAAATATATCAAGATAAGAAATAAGAAATATTAAGATTGTACTACTTTACTGCAAAATAAAAAAATCTAATATTTAAAATATTTGTAAAATAATTTATTTGACAGTACAGCAGTGAATGTTGCAATATTTATTGCTGCTTTAAAAGCTTGATGTTTTAATGTTTGAAAATAAGGAAATTATTTTAGCTGGTTAAAAGCGTTTCTGATTATATATCTCGAAACACATTGACCCAAGACGAGACCCGAACTCCTGCATTGCAAAAAAAAATTTTTTTTCAGCACAAATATATCTAATATAAACATTCTTATCAAAATAAAATTTAAGTAAGTTTTTGCTTAAAACAAGAAAAACTATCTGCCAATCATATAAAAAAACAAACAAAAAAAAAAAATACTTGAACTTAAATCAGTTGGATTTTTCTGATCCCATTGGCTATTGTTTTAGGCATTAAAATTTGCTTAATTTTGATGCAGAAGATGCACAAGACTTAGTATCTTATGTTAACTGATTTAAGAATATTTATATATTTGTACTGGAAAACAAGATGAAAATAATTTTTGCAGTCTTTTTAATTAAATTGCAGCATGTGTGATAACAGCACAAAGCCATATCTTGATTTCAGTTTTATTTGAATGAATCGTGCAGCCCTGTGCTCAGCCAGACCCACACCGTGCGGATGGCTGTGTTTAATTGAAAACTGCTGATATTGTTGCACTCTTGATATGCAGTGCAGATTTAATAAAACCTGATTAAGCTGCTGTAAAATGCAGCACGATCTACACTAATGCAAACAAACACAGACTCTCACTCAAAAACCCATCGGGAAGGTCAATTCAAGGGTGGTGATAATGAGACAGCAGTATGAGTCTGAGCACTAGCCTCATTGACTACAATTTTATAACTGCTGTTTAGCGTGAATTAGCGCACTAATGTCCTCATCGTTCTGCCTCAGACTGTGCAAATGAATTGGATCCGGTCGACCACCGAGATGAATGCTCAAATGCTTCATCTGTATCGTACAACTTGAGGTGCTCTGCGGGCCTGTTGAGTTCAGCTAATCCTGCTAATCTCCCTTTTGTTATGAAGTTGCTAAAATGAAACTCTTATCCCCATAATTATACCTTTTTTCCACCTCAGACTACAATCCAGACGAGAGCTATCAGCCGCGGGACTACCTTGCCGCCACCATGCAGTTCATCCCGGGTTACTTCGCCTGTGACGTGGTCTGGAGCACCGTTATTTACATTCACCCGCGCCTAAAAATGGGGCCCAACATGGGCGTGTCCCGGGGTGAGTGACACCACAGCGGACCAATCAGGTGGCTCCTCATGGAAACATGTTTTTACTTTGAAAAACTGCTAAGCTTGTATTTTCTCTGGTCCTTTCAGCTATCCAGGCTCTGCGCTCCGTTCTAAACGCTTTCTGTGTGGTAAACCGCAAAAACATGTTTGTTTATCAGGAGCGCACCACCAAATCTGTGTTCTACCTCCGGTGAGTCACAAGCTCGGCGTTTCTTCATATTATTGACCAATATGAGCTTTTCAGTGAATGATGCTGGTATCTGAGGAGCAGAGTAAACAAGAGTTGCTTCCAACACCAATGTCAGGGGTTCAATTCCCAGGGTGTGCATGAACTAAAATAAAGTATGAATTTATTTTTTAAAAATTATAATTTACTAACCCAAATTTTGAATCAATAGTGTTATCTGGTTTTTGTTTCTTTTATTTGTAGATTTATTACCTAATTCATTGTTTTATCACCCGATCCTTATTGTTTTGTGCAAGATAAATCCAGGTCTGATTGCCAAATAAATTCTGTCATCATCTCCTTTAAAAAGATCTTGTTGTCTTAATCATCCTCAATTTAATTAGACACTTTTAGTTAAGTTCATTAAGCTGCTATTTCAAAGGAACTTCACTAAATCTCGACGACTGATATAATGCCTATACACAGGCACATTATAATTTATATGTATACACATTCACAAATATTTATTATTACCATACCCAACTAATATTTTTTGCACAATATTTACTTGTAGGTCACTCAGAAATAATTGAAAGCAGAAAATGTGTTTCATATCTGTCTGCCACTATAATATCTCTTTAATTTCTCCATCTGTGGCTTCTCTCCTCCAGTCTCGCTGGAATGTATTTGAATTCTTTTCATGTTCTTGACCTCCTCGTCCCTTCTGTCCGTCTCCACAGACTCTCCGAGACGTCTCAGGCAGGGAAGTACAGTGATTTGGATGGAAACGTGCACGTGTCGCGCTCTGTCGGTCTGGCTCGCAGCCAGGAGCCGCTGGGCTCTGAGGACCTCACGGTAACATTCACATACTGTCACTTCTCATTACGCTTTAGGAAACCAGAGCCCTCAGGAGCCATTAGGGCTCAGATCGCCTTCCAGAGTGACTTGTCCTTGTATTTACACCATTTATGAGCTTCATCCTGACGGGACGAGTTATAGAAATGGGAGATGTGAGCAATTATGTGTTTATAGCCTGAAAAGCAGTCGTAGAACGTGCTCCCTTGAGCCCTGATGTGATGCGTGTTATGTTTTATGTGAGTGTGTGATGATATGTATCATGTACACAGGCATCACGCTCTTCTCTGGAAGGCTCAAGGCCGGTTGGACTGGTGGACAAACACATTTTGCTGCAGGTGCATGGCGTAGGGACCGCAGGTGAGAGAGAGAGAGATGGATAAATGTTTCTCACAGTACCACGACGAAAAAAAAGATGAATGAAGTGCATTGGTTTCTGTGAGGGATGTTACACCACTACACCAGCCACACTTACTGAAAGAAAAACGAATAAGGAACCATTAAGTTCAGACCACTTCTTGCATTTGTAAGCAGCTGAATATAGCTCAACTCAATATAATAGAGCGCAGAGATCTTAAAGGTGCAGTTTGTAATATTGACAGCTAGAGGTTGACATGGGTACTGCAGTCCACATTAAAAATTTTGCAGAGAGTTGTTTCTCCCGCCCCCTCCTCCTCAGACTCAATGCTTATGAGGGTTGCCAGATTTAAGTCACACAACAGGAACAAGCGCTACTGACAACAGAAGGTGATGAGCCTTACACTGTAAGTTGATGAGTTGATTTATCCGCATTTTAATATTTCTCTGGTCATAAAGATTTTTTGATGGATGCCAAGGCTTTTAAGAATCTGCGATCTCTAACCCAGTTCATTTGTTGGATTCCATGGCTGCAGTATGCTGGGTTTTCTGCAACCTGGCAACCCTGGGTGTCGAATACTATTGGGTAAATTGGCAGTGGGCAGAATCACACTGACCAAAACAAAAACAGACATTCTGACACAACGCACATTTCAAAGTGGAATAACCGGCTGTAGCATAGTTTTTCAGAAAAACAAGTATGTGATCTTAAATATCAAGCATGTTTCTTAAATATCTGCAAACATATTAAGGTATTTTTATGCATTACTGCAGTCAAAAAATTACATACAGCACCTTTAAGATGCGTTTTTAGAAGTTTAAACTTTACACAGCTTCTTGAATACGTGTCGTTCATAGTGCAATATGTTGAAAAAGCTGCAAGACACAGCACAACGACCAAGGACATCCGTCTAAATAAAAAAAAATAAAAAAAGCAGAGAATGAAAGCAAGAATGAGTCATGTGTAAACGGCTGACAATTCTGCCTTCCTTTTAATTTTGGGGAACAAATGTTGAATAAATCAGCCCATATCGACTCTTTGCTATGACTATTTTGCACAATTTAAAATAATAGGAAAATTAGAGGACAGAGCAAAATGGAGACGGGTTATCTGCTGTAGCGACCCTTAATTGGGAGAAGCCGAAAGAAGAACAGTAAATTATAACACATATTAACATGCAACATAGTGACTAAAACATGTTACACCATAAAGTGTGTTTTATTTTTTATTATTGTAATTTGTATTGCCAAATATTGCATAAAAGGCCCATGCATTATATTTGGGTGAAAGAAGGAAAAAATCCAAATGCAAGGTAAAATTATCAGACTTACTTTTTTCAAGTAACTGGTAAAGTAGCGAATTACTTTTAAATTTACAATGAAATATCGGAGTTACTCTTACAAATAAGTAATGCAAGTTACTTTGTTTTGGCATTTATTGACTGACATCCCTCCTGTCCCTGCGTTTAGAGAAACTGGGAGTGAGGTGCAGAGGAAGAGGCTTATTCATTTCACTTTTGGTGTGAAAGGCCCTTTACAGTTGCCAAAAAATATAACATTTGGGGTTTTTGTTATTAAACAAAAACAAGCAAGCCCAGCCCAGGTGACAAAAACTATCACAAAAGTAACGTTTTGCATTACTTTAAATAAAAAGTAACTAAGTAATGCAATTAGTTACTTTTTTAAATGGAGTAATGCATTACTTTTAAAAATACTTTCCCCAACACTGTGTGTATGTATATATATATATATATATATATTTATATATATATTTCTCCAGCCCAGGTGACAAAAACTATCACAAAAGTAACGTTTTTCATTACTTTAAATAAAAAGTAACTAAGTAATGCAATTAGTTACTTTTTTAAATGGAGTAATGCATTACTTTTAAAAATACTTTCCCCAACACTGTGTGTATGTATATATATATATATATATTTGTATATAGATTTCTCATGTCATTTTACTGTATATACAGTAAATTCAGCTGTTCGCCCAAAGTTTTGTCTGGAGATGTATGTTGAGCATGCAGCAAATATTTAGATAAACAGTGAAATAAATTTTTAAGCCACCAATAAACAACAGCATTGATTTTTAGCAGAGTTAAACTCTCAGGATTCTCCAGCACCACCTGCAGTATCATCAGCAGCTGGCAGGAGGCGCTGTTGCTCTGCATTCATCCTGCTGTTATCAGGGCCAGGAGTCATTTCTTTTCATGCAAATGTGTTACTTCACTCCCAAAGTGTAGCCAGGGAAATCTTTTCCAGTTTCATCAGTTTGTTTTTAAATGCATATTTATAATTGGTTGGGACTTTTCTGGGTTTAGCGAGCAGCTCTGAGGGATTTCAGCACCTGCTCGGGAGACTTAGTCAAAATGAAACGGCTTGCTATCTGTGAACTATTGTACTTCCATATTGTGTCATATTTTGAAGTGTGATGCTCTGTGATGGGCAGGTCCAGAGATCTCTGATGAACTGGTGAAGGTTTTGAGGAAGCGTCTGGACGAGGCCACGCTGGACATTATTACGGTCATGCTGGTCAGAAACTGCAAACTGACGCCTGCAGATGTGGAGGTGATTTCGCTTTCTCTTCTTTGACCATCTTTTGTCTGTGACAGACTTGTTCTTTCGCCGCAGGTTGTTCAGTGCAGATTAAGCAGATGAATTATATTTGCCCACCCTATGCAGAGACAGACATTTGTGGAAAAAATTGACATAAAAGTATCATAAAATACAACTCATGGGCTGTATTTCAAGTCTTCTGAAGCTGTGTGAAATTGGTGCCTTTTTTTCTGATTTTTAAATATTTTTAATCAAAGCTTCTAATGTTGTGATTCATCTCAGAGCGAGTTGGTTTAGAAGTCTTTATTGAAGATTTTTTGAAATATCACTGAAATGCATCCAGAACCAAAGCATCTGAAGGCTTGGTCTCTGTTTTTCTCATTTTTCTTCTGTGGGCGGCAGCGGGTGTGTCGTCTGAGATTAATTAATGGTTGGATAATAGACTGTGGAGATGATTTTTGGTTATTGCACGTAATTTTTTCCTCTTTGTCTCAGTTCATTCAGCCTCCCAGCTCTCCGGCGACAGAGGTGATGGTGTTCTGTCTGCCGCAGTACTGTGTGCCGTGGATCCAGGCGGTGGCTCACTACCTCCGTCAGAACCTCCTCATCTTCCTCCACATCCCCAAATACACTGACAGCAACATGGAGCACCACTTTAAGGTACCGGCCGACAGACAGACGGACCACTTTCCCTGTGCTTTCTGTTCATAGAGATGGTCACATGTTTAAATCAGAGAAGCTCTGTTGTAGGTTCTTAATAAAAATCTATACAAATTTACAAAATTTGAATTTAATTAAAATTTTGCCTGGTTTAAACAAAAATAGAGTTGCAAAATACAACTGAAAATTCACACCAAAACATTTAAATATGATTTCTTTTAAGACTTAAGACAAATATTGCACAGGGGTAAAGTAAGTTATAATGAAAATAATAAAAATAGTTGTTGTTTTTTTTCAAGTGAAATATATTTTTGTCTTAATCACCTTCCCAAATCATTTTAAAATGGTCTGATGAAATCCATTGCCCAAAAATATTGCTGATTACGTAAATATTCAGAAAATTAAAAAAATTGGTTTGCAATAAGCCATTTATATTTCCATGTGAGTGCGAAGCACCACAGATAAAGCATGACCGCAGTAGGGCTCTGCAAATGCGTTTATACTTTCATGCTCTGTAAGTGCGGTTTGGTTTAACAGGTCACTGAGAGTTCATTTAGAGAGCTCCCATAATGCACTACTGCACCAGGAGGAAAGACAAAAACACACACTTCATTGCATGTCTGTAGTCGCTTGCATGTCCCTTTTTTTTGGAAGCCAATATATAATTAGAATTTAAAGTGCACAATAATCATGGTGGTTTCTTGAATAATGGAAAACAGGTGATTATAATCACAATATGTCTGTATTTAGCCTTTTGCAAACTGGCATATATCAACATTTAACAGTTTTGTTTCCAGTACCATCTTAATCAGACCAGTAACAATGAAAAATCAATATATTGTGCATTCCTACTTGAAATTAGAGTTATTATGAAGATATAAACAAAATCAAAAAATCTTTTTAAAACGATCATTCTCCATAAATCCATTTTCTTTGTTTCTCACTCTTGTTAGCATTACTTCCATTTGAGCAGCGAGCTGCCCGATCATGACATCTACCTGTACAATAAACCTGGAGGCCAGGGCACAGGAGGCAAAGGTAAAGAGACTTATATTTGTATATTCTCCTAACTCATCATCCTCATCTCTTATTTTCTGAGGTTGAATTTGCATCTCACTGTGACTTATTTACGGGCTTCTAAATCTCACTCCTGAGCTCCTGAATTATACACACTTTGCTTGTTTACTTTGCAGAAATTATTTAGTGAGTTCTATTTCTTTCTTCAGTCAGTATGTTGGTCGTTTCTCTCCATCTTGCTAGATTTGCTGACTAGTCAGTGGCATATTGTTTTAAGGCCTTTCCACACTGAGCGCAGAAAAGCGAAATCAGACGCGATGACGCTCTGGAATAAAACAACAGATTCCTATGGATGCTTCCACATAGACCGCAAACATTTGCGCACCGAAAATGCGAATGTTTTTTTTTTTTTTTACCAGTCCGACGAATCTTTTCAGTTTCGCAAAGCTTCGAAAACACAGGCCATCCAATAAGATTTGAGCATTACGTCACGTGGCCAGAGGAACTGCTGTTACCCAAAAGGTCGACGCGGTGGCGCTAAAAGCTCAGAAGACTGTATTGAGCACGAGCGTAAAAACACAGAAGTAGAGGACTTTCAACCAACATACAAAGAATATGGATGTCGAGATGTTGTTGTCGATGGTGTCTGAACATAGAGATATATTTATATTTATATTCATATGATATATTTTCTGTTTGTTTTTATGCAGCTCTGTTTGAACAAAAACATTAATTACATACATTTTGAAATGTAGCTTGATGCTAATTGTACCTCTAATTATATTTTGTAAGCATTATGGATAGTTTGTGTTTCTGATGAAGAACCAAAAGTTATTGATCTTAATTTAATGCTGTATATTAAGCAGTGGACGATGTAAAAGCCATATATGAGATACATAGGCTACATGAGGAAAAATGCATTGCTGGTCAGCGCCACCTAGCGTGCAGGCGTGAATTAGCAGAAGGCGATTAATCGTTTCGCGCTCGGTGTGAAAGCAACGTTCGTCGCGTTTCACTTTGCTTTTTCGCATCGCGCTCAGTGAAACAGCCTTTTACACTGATTAAAAAGCAGATCACATTTCTGTCTGATTTCACATGACAAATAATGACTCAAGATCACTCATTTAACAGTTCATCTTTTGCCAAAATTATGGAAAAAAAAGATCAGTCAAGAATAGAAAATTATTGAAAATATTCAAATCAGAATTGTCAGAATCAGAGTGCAAAGTTTGTGCATTAAAGACAATGTCCGTCAAAATGTCATGTACAGAAACCTGGCGTTTTAATTGATTTGGCATTTATTCTCTTTAGCATGCAGTGTGAAGTATTTCACTCAGTTCCCCGATCATTCAGATTCAATTTCAGCGAACAAAGAACAAATTTATACTAGCTTGTATTAGGTAAGTTATCATCTCTGACAGACAGCACGTTGAAGCTGCTCAGGCCGGCATTTTCTGCTTCTTCTTAGAAAGAGATGACATAATCAAAACATCAAGTAGTGTGGGTTATTCAGGAATTGTATGTACTCCCTGGTCCTCTGCTGGCTTCTCGTAAATACTGCTGTGTATTGTGCATGTTATTCTTTGACAGACATCAATGTTGTGATATTTAAATTTAGTTTTGAGAATGTGGATTTGAAAACAGATGAATAGTAAGGCAATAATTATTTATTTCTTAGCCGGCAAGCAGTCAGTGAAGTGATTGATGCCCATTTTAGTTTTAATATTTCAACCGACAGCCATCCTAAGTTTTTGACGGATGTGATATCATGCATAACCGGGGAACTATGTTTGAGTTGGGTAATTATAAAACGTGCTAGAGACGTTCTAAATGCTTTTTGCGTAGTTCATTATACTTATTTTATGCAATGAAGTTTATTTTGTGGCTGTTACTCATAGACTGACACATTTGTTTTGTCAAATTGTTACATTCAGCTGTTGCTGAATTCTGTTTCGTGTTGTTTTTTTGCCAGGAAATGAGTGGTTTTGATGCACAAAGTTGTTGTCTTTTATAGCAAAAATCTTTTATTTAAAACACCTTAAAATGCAGGTCCTGTAGTAAATAATAGTGAAAAATCATTTTTGAAAAAAGTTGTTCTATTATGACTAATAACAATCGTCTTCTGCCATTATTCTTTAATTGACATGCTGTCGGGGGTAAATAAAAATAGGCGTAGAACTTTAAGTGCAAAATTACGTTACAGTTTGAATTTGGGCTTTAAAGCTGATATTTAATTTGAAATCAATTCTGAAATCTGCATCCGACCCCTTCAGGTTTTCAAACCGAGTTTTTTAACACTCCTTTGGGTGCATGTGGAGTTTATAAATATAAAGTACAAGTGGGAAGTTTGAGTATTTTTAGAGCTGTGGAGGGGACGCTTCAGGTCTGTCTCATTAACGTGAAGGGTGTTTAACAAGCCTCTTAGGGTCCTAATATGACTTGATCCCAAACTGCAGAGAGATAATTGTCAGGTGGAGACAGTGCAAGCAGTAGCAGCTCCGGCCTGGAGCCACAGGGTTCCTCTTCCCCGCTTTCCCGACCACTAATGAACTGACAGTCCACCCAAATACCTGCCAGAGCTGCTGCTGAAGATCTCCTAATGCACCTGCTATTAAAAGGAACATTACAGGATGCTCTCCACCATTACTGCTCATGCACTTCATCAGAATGTAAATAAAGGGCTTTGTGGCTCCTGGAATCGTCTCCTTGTGGGTTCATTGATGCAGGATCAGTAATATCAGCTCCTGTGAGGTCTCAGCAGCTCCTCCGGGGTTTTGAAAGGCAGCCAGTTGGCAGGACTTCAGTGAGATGTTCAATATTCAGTTCAATTCAAAATGTTCAATATTATCAGCCCGACCAGTGCAGTGTGGGTATGAAATGGGTCTGAGTTTCCCACACGCCTTCATATGTCCTGGTATGACTCAAAACATACCCTACTACACAAGTACATTAATTAGTGTTATTTACTGTTACTAATATTATTTATATTTTTAATAAATTATATATTTATTAAAAATGTAATAAATTTTTTTAGTTTTCATTTTAATTTGACTTTATTTTTTAGTAATTTTGTTTTGTGCTTTTGTTATTTTGATTAGGTTTTTGTAATATTTCTATTTAGCTATATTCATTTTTGTTCAGTTTTAGTTGTAATTTTAGTACTTTTTCATTTGTTAGTTGCCAAGGCAACATTTCTAATTGTCTTTTAAATGTTTTATTTAAAATTCTAATCTAATTTTAACATTTAATTACAGCTTTGTTTCAATTAAAGGAAAATGTTTTAGTTTTAGGTTAAGTTAACAGCAACAACACTGGAGTTTCATTTACATTTAAATTTTAAATTTTCCTTCCATTTTCATCATCTTCATCTCTCTCAGCAGTGTTGGGGAGGATAATGTAACTCAGAATTTCAAATTGTTAGATGACTGTGAAGCTTATTTTTGTTGATTTATTTAAACCACTATTAATCTGTTACAAATAATGTTTTTTAACACCGACTACTGTATCAAACTTGAATACTAATATACTGCTAACAAAAAAATGGATATGCTGGGCAATTTTATATTTCTGTCCCTCTTTTTAACTTAATGATAAAGAGCTTTTAAGCACTTATTCAGCATAATGAGGATGTGCATTAGAAGTGTAATTGATGATATATTTGTGTATTTTATCATTTTGTGCTGCCACAGAGAATAATGGGAAATGCACTTTAGTTGCACAAAATCTGTCTCCTCGTAAACCTTGCAAACTTTAATATGAAAAACTTTGGAGGATTTACGATGCTGATGACCGTTAAACGAGTCATCACAGTCTTGTGAAAAGGGTCCATGTTGAGGTATATAACTTTTAACGACAACACACATCAGTAGCATGTAGAAATGAACATAGAAACTATTTATTAATACATTTTGGTTATTTGCTGTATTAAGTAATTCAGACACTTTTACTGATTTTTCAACAGAAATTTAAGGTGACACACAAAAAAGAGTATTTTCCTGTAAAATTGCATGCATTGTCTTAAGTATATTCTCTTTTTTGAACATCTCTCATTGCAACGGACAGATAAAATGATAATTTTGTGCAGTGTATAATAAGGGATCAGATCGTCTGTATTCAGGCACTTCAGAGTGTAAAATCATCTCATTCACACTCTCTGCCGCTGACCGCCATCATTATAAATCAGAACGTGACTTCCGTGATCACTCTATCTGTCTGTCTAAAGCTCCAGAGTCCAGCAGAGACTGAAGTACATGTAGTTAATTAATATTACTCAGTACTTAAATGTAGAATTACACTGTAACAAAGACACCTTAAAATAAAGTGTAACCCTTTATCATTATTCTTAATGAACAAACTGAATTTAGACCGTTAAAATTCACAATTATGTCTTAATTATGACATAATTATTAGCTTCAGCCAAACCCTAATCCTAACCCTAACCATATAGTAAGTACATGTAGTTAATTAATATTACTCAGTACTTAAATGTAGAATTACACTGTAACAAAGACACCTTAAAATAAAGTGTAACCCTTTATCATTATTCTTAATGAACAAACTGAATTTAGACCGTTAAAATTCACAATTATGTCTTAATTATGACTAATAATTATTAGCTTCCAAGTTCCAACGTTAATCAGAAATTGATATGCTGTTGGGGCTTAAAGAGAAATAGGTGTTATTTGTATGCAAGATAATTTTTTTTTTTACATTTAATCTTAATTCTAGTCTGAAATCTGAATATGACGCCTTTAGATTTTTAAACCAGAGAGGTTTTTAAAGCAACCCCCATAAATTATATAGAGCATGTTTGAAAATGTAGTGATAAACAGTAGCATCTAGCTAATTATTTATCACTTGACCAGAAAAAAAGTCAAATATTGTGGAGTGAGTTTTGCAAGCAGCATTAAATTGCCTATAAATCAGAACGTGACTTCCGTGATCACTCTATCTGTCTGTCTAAAGCTCCAGAGTCCAGCAGAGACTGAAGGGCCCTTCTCTCTGTCCTCATGCAGTCTCTCTGGAGCGCAGGGGCCGCGCGGCTCACGCCACGCCACATCACACCTCATCAAGTGCACTTAAAAGATCACTGCAAATGGAGTTCTTAGATGAGAGGCCACGATGCTGAGAAGCCGCTCATTGATTGGCACTGCTCTGAAAGCAACACGTACTTGCGTTGCATTATGAATCGCAGTCTGACGTATTTCAAAAACACCATGCATGAAATTGAGCTTGCTTGGATGGAAGCGTTTAAGCTCATGTACTTATGTAGCTTATGTTTCAGACTGAACACACACTTTCATGCATGCATCCACATTAATGCAAAATGCATGCACACTTTAGCATGTGAGAGCACAGATGCACATTTATTTCAGGTGATTGTGTGCGGTGCATTAGTATCTGAAATCTGGCACACACACACACACATCGATCACGCCTCAAACCGCTAACGGCATGCGCTAATACAACCAGCTGGATAAATCCCCGCTCGCGCTCCACTGTTTGCTGCTAATGCCTTTTAATGCGACCGCCGCACTGTTTGCGAGGCTTTTTTATAGCCACAACCACTGGAGCGAAGGCGCCATCGATCTCTGACAATGTAATGATGGAAATCTCTCTCTTTCTGCGCTTATCAGAGCCGTGGCTTCCCAAGGCCTCCTGGCTTCATGCTGTAAACAGCATAACCGAGTCAATACAACGGCATAAAAACCCATTTAAAGGATTTATGAGAGTGCGTACTCAAGTAGAGGCATTGTTTTCTGAAATATCGTTGTGTTTAGATAATTTAAGGCTGCATATGGGTGTTTCTTCAAGTATGGGAATGTTCAGCCTTGTGGACCTTCAGAAAATAAACTCTCTTAAAACACACTTTATATGTTTGCTTTGACAGTGGGATAAAAATTCATTTTAATATTAGTTTAATTTTAGTTTTAATTGTATATCCTTTAGTCCTTTTTTTAATATTTCTATTTAGCTTTTTTTTTTGTTTTAGTTTTTAGTAATTTTTATTTTAGTTAATTGCCAAGGCAACATTTATTTATTTATTTCATTTTTTCTTTTAAGTTTTTCATCTTATGTTTATTCTTAAATTAGTTTATTTTTTATTTTATTTCAGTCACAAAAAATATTTTAAAGATTTTTTTTATTTTAGTTAATAATAACAACGCCGCTTTGTTGCATCGCCAGTGGCTTCTGTCATTTGTCAAAATCCCCAGCTCTCAATGAAAATAGGTGTTTGTCGCTGCAAATCTCTGTCAGTGTCAACTGCCTTAATTTGTTTATTTTATTTGCATATTAACAATGTCCAACATTGTATACAGATAAATTACAGAGGAATTCTGTCATTTTTGTCTTCTCTTTGTTTTTGCAAATCATGATCATTTCCACGACCATGTCATTTTCACCACATCTCAAATGCTGTATTGTGCTTTATAATATTCTGTGTGGAAATGACATGTTTTGAATAGAATCAGTCAGTATTTTCATAGCTAGCAGTTGTGTGTGTCCTAAATAAACACAATTTAATGACATTTTTATACTTTTTGCATAAACTACAGCTTGATTAGAAATTACACCAAAGAAAAAATGTTCTTCACAGATATTTAATTGGATTTCTTTTTAATTTAGTTCTTCTCACATATCTTATATTTTTGTGAACAAGTTAATAACTTGGGGAAAAATCTTTTGTAAAAGACAGCATAGTTTTTGTAAAAATTAAATACATTTTTAAATAATAAATATTGAAATGGTTTATTTAACTTTTTTATCATCATCGTTTCAAAAATGTATTTTTTAATGATTTATTTTCATATTTTATGATTGAAAGGTTGTGTTTTTATCAAGGATAATTGGATCTGTACATAAAATCCATTTAAAAAGAAGAAACATAATTTATAAAGATGTTAAATACATAAAAGACATATTTAATATTACCTTTATATTAAAGAAAAAAAATCTGTTGCTTTAAATAAAATGATTATAGTTTAAAAAATGTATGATTGCAAGGCTGTCGAGGTAATCAGACTTGTATACAAAAGGCATTTGAAAAAGAAGCAAAGTAAATGAAGATAAAAAAAACGATTTAATGTGACCTTCAATTAAAAAATCTTTTGGTTTTAAATCAACCCCCTGAGCGTAGAAGTGGCTTTGTTTGAAGAGACATATGAGCATGCATCTCTAGCAGAATTTATTGCTTTCATGTGAGTTTTGCATCATTGTTTGCATCATTCAGTTCTGTCGAGCTCGTTTAGTTCTGTTCTCCATCACTCTCTCCTCTAACCCTGCTCTCCCCAGGTATCGCCTGCATCGCGCTGTCGTTCGTGGATGCTAAAGGCTGCGCGCTGCAGGTTCCCGCTCAGGATGGCAGCGGCCCGGCTCTCAGAGGAGACGTCTCCAGCATCTCCCTCCAGCCGGACCAGTTCGAGGCCTTGACGACTGTCGTCAGCCAGAGCTCAGGTTGGGATGCTTTAGCAAACACACAGTGTTTACAGTAGCGGTGTGTGAGGTGTGTGTGAGCTCTGGGACGCCTGTGCGCAGGTGCAGCCGTGTGTGTGCGCTTCGACGTGTGGGAGCAGGGTAACATCAGCCCGCTGCAGCTGACCGACCGGCTCCGGGTGGCTCTACGCCATGCCCTCTGCGACATCCTTATGGAGATGCGCGTGCTGCCAAACCCGTTGTGTCTGGACACCTTCTGCCTTCCTGCAGCCGCCCAGCGGGACGAGAGCACAGGTGAGCAGCTCATGCAATGTATGAACTACTGTTATGATGCATTTTGGAGATTGACAGCTCCTGATATACTTCAAAAGAAGTTCTTTTTCGTTCTTTGTTTGAGGGCAAAAAGAAGTTCGAAAAGGCTAAGCGACGGTATACTGTTTTCGAACATTCCGACACCCCCGCGCTGCTGGAGGCGGGGTTGTAAACATGTGTCTCGCCGCCCGCGTGTACCCCCTAAAAACAACAACGATGGCGGCTGTGAGAGAAGAACAGTTTCGTAAACATCTGGCAGTAGCATTGATCTATTCAGTGGCAAAGAAAAATAACAAGAACAAGCGACTTAGATGTTATGTGCGTCCACTTAACGAAAACAGAAAGAATGA